AGATCAAATAAACACGTTTGGTTCACTAATGTGAGCTGGATCAAATGATTCATTTGTTCTGGGATTAAAACATACTGATAATGCTCAATGTGTGATTCACTAAAAATACGGTAGCTGACTCAAATGATTCATTTGTTTGGAAACTGGAATGTATCTCTTATACTCTCGTGTTTGATTCACTAATAAGAACTGACTCGAATGATTCGTGCAAGGATTACAAGCACTGCTCATACTCTGTGGTTGATTCATAAGAATCGGCTCAAATGATTCACTTGCTTAGAGATTGAAATAGTCTTATGCTCCGTGTTAGACTCACTATTAAGTGCAGGTACATATATATATATATATTTATATATATATATATATATATATATATATATATATATATATATATATATATATATATATATATATATATATATATATATATATATATATATGTTCAGTTCTGATATTATTTCAGTCCGCAATAATATTAAATAATATGCAAATGTTCATATGATTTATTTACAATAGAGTTGATAAAGTAATATGTTCTGTCTTTTAGTAAATATATTATGTGAGACTTGCTTTGTTTAACAAATTGATCTTATAGGATTTGCTTAAATAAAATTAAAATACAGTTTTTTATTTCACGCTTTAAGTTCTTAGTTTCAATACTCCCAATATCAATTAGCATATATATACAGTTGAAGTCAGAATTATTCGCCTCCCTTTGAATTTTTATTTTCTTTTTTAAATATTTCCCAAATGATGTTTAACGGATCAATGAAATTTTCCCTGCATGTCTGGTAATATTTTTTGTCTTCTGGAGAAAGTCTTATTTGCTTCATTTCGGCTAAAATAAAACCAGTTTTTAATAAAAAATAAATAAAAAAATCATTTTAAGGTCAAAATTATTAGTTACTTTAAGCAAACTTTTTTTCCGAAAGTCAACAGAACAAACAATCGTTATACAATAACTTGCCTAATTACCCTAACCTGCCTAGTTAACCTAATTACCCTAGTTAAGCCTTTAAATGTCACTTTAAGCTGTATAGAAGTGTATTGAAACATATCTAGTCAAATATTATTTACTGTCATCATGACAAAGATAAAATAAAACAGTTATTAGAAATGAGTTATTAAAACTATTATGTTTAGAAAATTGTGTGTATATAACACACAATGTTTATATTACATATAAATAAAAAAATCAAAAATATATGAATGCATCTGTGTATTCAAATACACATAATAAATGTACACACACATAAATCAAAACAAACTTATATTGGTAGGGTTAATTGCGATTAAATTTTGCCAATCAACATTTGTTTTTTTTGTATTTTAAATGTATATAAACTAGTCTTACTCAAGGATTGAAACCTCTGGTTCTTGGGGGACATGAAATAGAGACAGGTGGATGTTTTAAATATTTAGGAACATTCATTGATAGTGATCCAACAGATGGTGGATTGACATTTGCTGGAAATGTAGAGTGCATTTAAAAAAAAAAAAAACAATGCAGAGATTTTATTTTATCAGGAGGCTACAACAATTTGGTGTCAGGGTTATTAGGCAAGCTATTGTATAATGATGGTTTGTTTTGTAGAATATAAAAAATATAGCTTAAAGGGGCTAATAACTTTTACCTTAAAATGGTTTTTAAAAAATGTAAAACTGCTTTTATTCAAGCTGAAATAAAACAAATAAGACTGTCTCCAGAAGAAAAAATATTATCACACATACTGTAAAAATGTCCTTGCTATGTCAAACATTATTTGTGAAATATTTAAAAAAGAAAAAAAAATCAAAGGGGGGTTAATAAATCTGACTTTAACTGTTAATAAAAAAAAATATAGGCATTTAATAATGTAACATAATACAAAAACAAACTTACAAAAATGAAAATACAAAAACAAAATGTTTTTAAAAACAATATACACTAACTACATTAACAATCTGAAAACAACAAATCGTGAATCACAATATTGACTATCAACTGCACTGAATAGGAGAACTTAACTGACCGAGTTTCAGCTCCAGGTGAAGTTGATCACATTTGGGATTGAAAGGCCTGGACAGCTCGACCCACATCTGGAAACACTGCCCTCTGCGGACGATCAGGTGGTCACCACGGAATCCGTTGGTGTGATGCTCCTGGCGATTCTGACTCTTCCAGCACTTCATCAGGTCAACACAACGAACCTGCAGGACCAGATCTGACACAAACATTCCAGCATTACTGAGCAATTTCAGAACAAACAATCCCTAATAATTTAATTACCCCATTTGGCAACCAAGATACTAACTTCTTTCTTTCTTTTTGAGTTTTTTTATTTAGTTAGATTTTTTTAACCATTAACAATTGATGTAAATTAAAAGTATTTAACTGTAACACGAACTGTATTTTACCGTAGGACAGTTATGCGGTATTTTGCTGTATTTTAAAGCAGCATTGTGAAAATTACTGTACATTTTACAGTAAAGATATACAACACTCATTCATTCATTTTCCTTCGGCTTAGTCCCTTATTTATCAGGGGTCACCACAGCGGAATGAACCGCCAACTTATCCAGCACATGTTTTACACAACGGAAAGCCTTTCAGCTGCAACCCAGTACTGGGAAAAACTCATGCACACTCATTACCACACATACACTTCGGCCAGTTTAGTTTGTTAAATTAACATATAGCGCATGTCTTTGGACTTGTTGGGTAAACCGGAGCACCCGGAGGAAACCTATGCCAACACGAGGAGAACATGCAAACTCCACACAGAAATGCCAACTAACAGATGAAATGTCTTACCTTCACAGCAGCGTGCCGCATTACAGTCATCTGCGCAATCCTTTAGGAAAACTTGCTTGCAGTCATAATCGCAGTGTGGTCTCACGTCACACGGGTTCACGCAAGGCTTTGGCAGAGGAACTACACAAGGACCTACAACTGGTTTACCGCAAAGGTCAACAACCGGTTTACCACAAGGGTCGAATATAGGTTTGCCGCAAGGATCGACAACTGGTTTACCGCAAGGGTCGACAATGGGTTTCCCACAAGGACTAATGACAGGTTTACCGCAATGGTCAACAACAGGCTTCACGCACGGATTCCCACATGGGTCGACAACAGGTTTCACGCAGGGATTCCAGCAAGGGTCTACGCATGGCTTCACGCAAGGGTTGCTGTAAACCGGCACGTAGCCCGATCCTTTCCAGAAACAGTCCTGCAGCTTGACGGCGGGAAAACGGCCGATGTTGCAGAAGTTGTTCAGACCACCGTTTACGATAGGCATTCTGTAAAATGAAGAACACAAATGAATCAGCACAGTTTAAAGTAGGAATGCATGCTATTGGAAGAAACTAACATTGCGATATTATGTTATTCTGCTATATATGTTGCAATATACACACAATTTCACCAGATGAGCTTGAGTAGCCCAATTTAGGGGAAAATTATTGTTTTAGATTGATTGGTAAGATTCTTTAGAGGAGTGCATCTGCATCAAATCTTTTAACATTTTCCTTCGTCTTAGTCCCTTTATTCATCTAGGGTCGCCGCAGCGGAATGAACCGCCAACTTATCCAGCATATGTTTTACACAGCAGATGCCCTTTCAGCTGCAACCCAGTACTGGAAAACACCCATACACACTCATTTACACACACATTCATACACTACGGCCAATTTAGTTTCTTCAATTCACCTATAGCGCATGTGTTTAGACTGTGGGGTAAACCGGAGCACCCAGAGGAAACCCACGCCAACACGTTGGAGAACATACAAACTCCACACAGAAATTCCGACTGGCCCAACTTATGCCTGAATTCTTTAAAAAATCTTTGTACAGTCACAGACGTAAAAACCCATGAAAATGTCAATTATCTTTGCTTATCATGCGATGTGACTCTTGGAGCCCTGCATGGGCGTTAAATCTAAGCCCTAGCACAGTCCTGGCCCATGAAGCATAGGCTGTAGCCCTGCCCTTATCCAATAGCTTATGAAAATTTTTGGCCCAAGTCCGTCTTGTAGCCCGTCTTTTTTCCGCCAAACTGCTTACTGTTACAGCTATTAAAATAGATTTATTTATAAAGATTTATTTTTGGCCTTTATTATTAGATAGGACAGTGTTGAGACAGGAAGCGAGGTGGTAGAGAGAAAGAGGGGGTAGGGTAATGTCGTCAAGCCGGGATTCGAACTCGCGACGCCCTGACGTGCTATTGCATCATATGTCGGCGCGCTAACCACTAGGCTATTGCGCCGACTTTTGTTTGTTCTTTAAATGTTAGTTTTTGTTTTTTAAGTGACATCGATAACCATGGTATGCGGTCCAAAGTGAGTTTACTCAATTTGCAAGTTGTGCATTGTGCATAACCAGTTGGCTCATTAGTTAAAGTTGTCACTATTTAAAAAGTTGACCAGAAGTTTGCTCTACCTTTAACGTTTTTCACAGTTTTAGGTTCGCCATTGCCAATTTTTCTCCTTATGTTCTCTATTGCACATGGCAGGAAGGCAACACTGGCGCTTCCGGACCGCATCGCATGCATTAGATCTCATTAAACTTAAAAAAAATAAATCAATTCTAAAGAGCAGACCTGAATCCTGATATGCATGCTAGCTCTGAAAACGGACTCGAAGTTTGGCCCTAGGGGCATAAAAAAGTCGGGCTCCGACAGGCTCTGGCTCAAATGCAAGGCTCTAGTGACTTTTGCAAATTTATTCAATTCACCTTTATTTGTATAGCGCTTTTACAATGTAGATTGTGTCAAAGCAGCTTCACATAAAAGATCATAGTAAATTGGAACAGTGAAGTTCAGTGTTCAGAGTTTAAGTTCAGTTCAGCTCAGTTCAGTGTGGTTTATTATTCACTACTGAGGGTCTAGATACTGGAGAGCAAATATATCGATGTGCAGCTCTACAGATCCCAAACCATGCAAGCTAGTGGCGACAGCGGAGAGGGGAAAAAAACTTCACCAACTGGCGAAAGTGAAGAAATAAAACCTTAAGAGAAACCAGATTCAGTTGGGCATGACCATTATAATTACTCTGCTGCCCAAACATCTAGTGCAGAGATGCAGTCTCAGCGGCGGAGATCTATATCAGCCTGATCTTATGAGAAAACCTATATTACATTTTGTCAGTTTAGTGGCTAATTCAGTCGTACTAAATTGTACGATTTTAAAAAAGGAGGCGTGGCACCGAACCCCACCCCTAACCCTAACTGTCATTGGGGGATGAGCAATTCGTACTAAATTGTGTGAATCGTACGAATCCATACTAATTACCCACTTAATCAAAGTTACGAATTGCCGTGAGATCGTGTTGAGAATAGAATGTGTTTGAACAAGACTGTTTTATTAAACTGATATATTTGTTAAAATTATATTTTAGTCATCAAACATCTTTAGAAATAGAAAGAAAGTACATTTAAATGTATACAAAATATTGCAGAGCAACATTACAAACTACAACATTTCAACAAAATTCAATTTATTATTTGTTTCTCTTTGTTTCTTTTATTATTTTACCTCTTATTACATTTTTTATTTAATATTTTCCCTA